TTACTCTAGGATAGGGTATATAAATCAGAGCGTTTGGGTCTAGAATAGGGTATAATTTTTTACAAAACTGACTAGTTGGTTGAAGATTTTATCTAGACTGAGGAAACCAGGAATTGCCACTCAAAAATACGAAAAAATCAAATCGGCAAGTTTAAATTTATGCAAATCAGTCTCGACAGTGTCGATAGATGGGGGGATTTGGGGAGTTTACTCTAGTATAGGGTAGCAAAATTCAGCTGAACCAGCTCTGTTATAGGCTAAGGGTTTCAGGGTCCCAGCGGCACATCCCCACCCAAAAATTCCCAAAGTACCCCCCCCCCGGGCGATGTACCTCGTGCACATGTCGTGTGTTCGCCATTATTTCGTATCACTCGTGCTCGAAAGAGTTCAAACGCGAGAGAAGTGAACCAGGATACTTACTCCTCCTTTAGCTTGGATGTTTTGGCGATCATTTGGACAAACTGGGTTTTCACTCCTATCGAAAGTTAAACAGAAAAAAAAAAACCTTTAGAGACTAAACAATTGATCGAAATATATTAGTCAGAATTTAACTGAGAATATATTCTTCGTGTAGAAAAGGTTTTACTCTATTTTTTCATCGCGTATATTGACTGACTGATTCACATATTGATAAGACTTTTTTTTCGAATCCGACACAAGCCTTTTATTGCATTTCGAGTTCCTGTTTCCGTGAGCCGTTAATAACGGATACTACAAATGCCGTACTTTTTTTTTTTTCTCACACTCATAAATAAAAATCATAAATAAAAGCAATTTTAAGGGAAAAACGTCCCGGTCGATAATCGAAAGTTCTGTTCCTAAATTCCCATTTTATTTTGCCAAGTTCCACTAAATTTACAAAGTATTTGGATAAAAAGATTCCACAGAGAAGAAATACGGGATTACAAAAATGGAAGTGGATTACAGTTCAGCAAATTTGATTTTGAAATTGGCATTCTAGTGAAACCTCTTCTGCAAGATAACCGAGCAAGTTTACAGCAAGCTCCCGGCGTTAAATATGTAGATATCACACGATATCAGCCAAGACTAGTCCCTAACTCACGTACCCCTTAGCGATTTGATCTAATTAAAATCTGAGAAAAAATATCTCTTCATTTTTAGATAATTCTCCCGCAAAAAAGTTTCATCCGAAAAGCAATATATGCAAACTGTTATCTCGTTAGGAAAACACGAATTCCCAATGACCAAACAATGGCGGAAGACAAATTTTTCCCACCGGAAGTATATACGCCGATTGTGTTTTCCTATTCGAGCATTGAAACATAGCGTATGCTAGCATACACGTAGGATGAATCTCATTAAAAAAAAAAAAAAAAAAAACTACATCGATTTCTTCCTCTGCTTTTTGAATTATTTTACTACGCTTCTAAAGCTATACTTTCGATCTAAATCAAGGGCTGACGGAAACTAATGGCCGGAAGCTTAATTTGGATTTAAAACTTAACATCGCGTCACGTACAGACTGCATAAACACGTTTACTGATTAGAATATGTAGTGTAATTATTCTGTAGGAAAACCATGGCCTTGTCGAAGACTTTGAACATGGGGCACAATGTGATACACTCACTTTGTAGCACAGACCATAGTTAGTAGAGTTAGTTCTCCTCCACTGACTATGCACAGACGAAAAAAAGAGATGAAAAATGGCTCTCAGTGTAAATTATAAAATCGCTTGATTGCTTCGAAAGGTGATACTGAAAAGTCGCAACACTTCCTTGAATCGAACGCTTCATAAAGATTCCACGATGAAGAAACGCTTGCCAATTTTATACGATATAAAGACAGAAGAAGACATACCTCAGAATCCCAAGCAAGCAATCTTTACAGAATCGATGGCCACACTCTGTCGTTTGTACAGCATCCCTCATCGGCAAAAGACACACCGGACATGTTTGACTGTCTAATACCTTGTCCACAAATTCGTAATCGTAGCCACCAAACAACGTTGGACGAGTTTCTTCTTCGTCGCTGCTACGAACATCGTAAACATCAACGAAATCGGGCTCGAATTCTTCGTCAGATTCCTCTTCGTCGCTTTCGGACCTATCGAGAAAATGATTGGCGAAGAGAAAGAACGCTCTGCGCCTCGCGTCCATCGCTTGCGAAGCGAATTGAATGTCGAAAGGGTGGCGGAAGTTAAAATTCTTTTTACTATTGCGTGACGTTACGCCTGAATTGTCTGGTTTGTTTACGTTTGGAGGCATGAATTATAGATATGCTGTCACGTCATACAAAAGTGCCTTTCAAAAAAAATACAAAACAAAGGGAGAAAATCACTAATGATAAAGCAGTAGACCAAAAAGGAACAAGATTGGATGATCTTGGAAGATTCCGTCGTGTTACGAATGACGAAATTATAAGGATTCCGTGTTTGGTTCCGCGTTGGTTCCGCTGAACTGCATTGACCATATTAGGGACAAGGAACTACCACGCAAATATCAAACACAAAATTCCTTCGATAGTTGATGTCTTGTCCAAGAACACATCACAATGTCCCCAGCCAGGGCTCAAGCCCACACCACTCGATTCGTAGACGACCGCGCCACTGAAGCCTAAAGAAAAAATACTTGTGATCCATAGGTAATCGCTAATCGGCTGTTAAACATTCGTAGGAATAAGAGTACTCAGTCGACCATGAAGTGTCCTGCATCACGTACAGAAAGTTCATCCGGTTCGGGATGCGAAGACCGTGATTTCTAGCGCGTTCCCTGCCTACCGAGGGTCCAAAATAGAGTGAATATGACCATTACCCTGGCCATGCCTGAGGGGGGAATCCTGGGGTTTCATATGACTAGTGTATTAGTGCCCCGAGGAATTTTGTTACAAATTATACGCCCTTGTCCCTACACAAGCACGCGCGAACACGCAAACGTGCGCACACAAAACAACACACATTAGAACTAGCAATCGTTACGGGATTATGTTGCAGTGTGAACATTGGAAAAGGAGTCTGCTACTAGAACGCATTAGTAGTATGCGCAGCAGACGCTCGAGTGATAATAGAATAATAGGAAGCGGGTTGAAGCAGCCCACAAGCAGCGTGCGTGGGCTAAGGCACGCGAGGGAAAGGAAGTAGATCCGCGCGTGTCGCAGTGATTCCCTTTCATATTGAGGAAAAATGTTCGGTTTGTTAAGACGGTAGTGTTGAGCGATTCAGCTATGTAAATAATGCTGATAATTTACATTTAATTAACACTGGCTTGCTATTGAGTGATTTTTAATGTTTCATATTTCCATATTTATAGTTCTTTTGAGCATATGACTCTACACTTTCCAGTGTGTGTCATCAGTTCCAACCAGTCCTATCAACGGCGATATAACCAGTCTGACTAGTTATTATCGACAGGTAAAATCTGATTACCAAGATCCAGCATCACGAAGCTATCTTACACAAAGCGTATAAGCCACATCAGTCTCGCTTTAAAACCATAATCCAAACTTGCGCAACACAACCAGTCCATTTAACAATGCTTATGACTCGTAGGGAAACTCCCAAATAAAAATGAGGAGGGAGGGAGAGAGGGAGTGAAATGGGACCCCAAATCGCACTTTGTGGGTGACTCGAATTTGTTTTCATCCAGTTTCTGACATTTTTTTCAACTTTACTAACCTAAAGAAGCATCGAAATAACTCAACTAAAGAAAACTCCAGTCATTTTTACATGGGAGTCTGTCGTCCCCTGGAGCTTGTAACTATTCCATTTCCGTCGCTCTTCTGATGCAATCTATCTTGACCTTCCCAGATCTGATATGGACTGTCTTCTTCTGACGTTCAATCATCGGAATGCTCTGAAAGCTATTTACTGATAACCAATACACTGAAGACAAGTGATCATTGTATCCTAGTGCTTTATCCAGTCCCTGTGCTGTAAGCTAAGGAATGAAGTCTGGGCCTTGAATTCCATCTCTGCCAGCTCCCTGACCGAGGGTGCCAGTTCTGCTGTGTGCGTCTCAAATATTCTCCCTAAAACGAAAACAAATAAATAAGAAATAAATGACTCTAAAATCAAGAGAAAAGCAGGAATTGTGAATTTAATGGTGCAGAAAATGTGCGATTCTGAGAACTTGCATGACAACAATATTGCTAGAGCGCTGCGGTAATGACTTTCGAAAGGATAGTCACTTATCAGAATGAAGTGCAGTCCTCCATACAGCACTTCAGATCAAAGAATATCTTTGTCAACCAATCAGAACAAGAAAACATTGATACAGCCAAGGCAACCTTCATCAGCCAATCAGAGCAAAGACAACCTTCAGCCAATCAGAGTAAGGAAAACCTTCATACAGCCAATCAGAGCAAAGAAAAGCTTCAGACAGCCAATCAGCGCAAAGACAACCTTCATAAGCCAATCGTAGCGAAGAAAACCTTCATCAGCCAATCATAGCAAAGAAAACCTTCATAAAACCAATCAGAGCCAAAACAACCTTTATACAGCCAATCAGAGCAGAGCAAACATTCACAAAGCTAATCAGAGTGAAAAGAACCTTCATAAACCATTCAGAGCAAAGACACCTTTAAGCCAATCAGAGCAAAGCAAATGTTCATGCATTTAGTCAGAGAAAAGAAAACGTTCATCAGCCATTCCGGTGCAAAACTCTTATCCGTAATCCTGACTCACGAAATTCGCTTTCCTCGCTTCAAACGTGTCTCGCGTTCGCCTCAAGCCTACCTGGGGAAACCCTAAAAATCATAACTCCCGCAAGCTAAATTATAGGACAGAGAAGTTGAAACACCTTGGTAGCCCCGTTGCTCCTGCCACTTAACGTGAAAATCATAACCATTCACCACAACGTTAATCAGAGACAAGAGTGCCTCTGGTACGTATGTCTGGAACTCACCTTTCCGTCAGCAAAGGTCATTTTGTAATAGGCCATATTCGTATTCTCGGTATTGGACTGGAACTAGCTTGCAAGTGAGGCTAATGGGGGGAGTCTTTTCAAATGTAAATGACATTCATCTCTTTTTAATGATATTCCCCCGCGTGAGCCTCCATTGCAAGCTAGTTCCAGTCCAATACCGAGAATACGAATATGGCCAATTGTGAAGGTGACCACAAAATGAGTATCATACAACACTAACCTGCCCCTCTACGTTTCTCCCCATACGTCACTTTGCCGTCAAATTCGTTGTGTGGAATTTTCATGTTGGGTTGAATGGACGAGATTGTCTCTTTAAGATGTTCCTCCACGTCAGCTAAATACTACAGAAAAGAACGAAATGGAGAAAATATACATTAAATGAACCGCTTTGTGAAACGTGGCATCAAAACGTCTAACAACTTTGATAAGCTAAGTGAAAGCGTAGATATCATAATTTATTTACCTGTTTCTCGTCATACCAGATAGCACAGCCTCCCTGGTCCTTCAGCCGTGTGTTATAGCATCCTTTACCCCGACTGGAACACGTGTGGTACCATACCTACAGTTAAAGCACGCCAGCATTTAAATAACCGGGTTATCGCCTTCCTGACTATTACGGTATTGCTGAAAGGCAACACTTAATTGAAAAAATTGCACCAAAATGGAACCACACGTGGTACAACGAAACTGCAGTACAACCTCGCTTTCTAGAACTCTGTTGTCTTGCACTCCCCACTAACTCATATCACTTTCCCCTGGATGTACTTCTTCAATCACTTACTATCAACTATCTCGAACTCCTAAAAGAGGAAATTTACTACAGGCGCAAGTTAAAAAGAAACAAATTCGGCGTCAATGTAACATTGTTTAGCACAACTTTCGTATCCTCGCTTTTTTTTTTCCTTTTTAACTCTCCGTTCTTTAACCAAGCCTACGAAGTTACATAGTGAAACATTTTCTAGGTTGGGACCCAAAGAGCAAGGATTCGTTATACATAACACAGTTCGATGAACATGTAACGAACTGTACCTTTTCTTTAACGTCCGAAACGAGAGAAATTGCCAGGCCCATCCTAAAGGAAGAAGAACAACATACATTCTTTTTATCACAGTTCTGAGAATGTGGTAGCAGACAAGAACAATGTCTTCTAGTCCCCCAGTTGACGTTTAACGTTTCTCTCCCAACTTGATTGCTCGAAAATGTGTTGACATTGTAAGGAGAATTTAGAATTACATAACTATACCCGCCATTAACAAATATGGGGTTAAGGTAAGTGGTGTTTCCACCACAAATGCCTCGGTTACTACTTGTTCATGAAGGGCCAGAACTTTAGAGTCATAACCCGGCTGGGGGAAAACACTATTGATAGGATTGTGTCTATGACAATGAAAAATTAGCGCAAACACCCTCCCCTGCAATAATAGCTGCATTTTGCTTGTATCCTAAAAGTGGGTGATAGCAGGATGTGCGGTCTGACGCAGATTACAGGAATACACCTACGCTGCAGTTCAATATTACTATCATATTTACGCTAATGTGTATTATTTTATCTTTTCTGGTGTTCACAAGTGCTACTCGTTGAGATAAAAAGCTCAAACCTAGATTCACATTTACCTCTCTGCTCTTCCTACTCGTCCAATTCTGTGCACGTAGTTTTGTTTGTCGTCTGGAAATGTTACATTCACGACTGAAAAGGAAGCAAAAGCGTAAGTTTCTCGTTAGAAAGGAGGAGGGGAAGGGAGGGGAAGAAAAGCTAGGGAGGGAGGGAGGGGGGAGGGAGAAGTGGAAATGCTGAACTAAAAAGATAGACTGAGTGAAGACGTGTGTTCTCACCGTATGGTACACCCGTGATGTCGATGCCCCTGGCAGCGACGTCAGTACAGATAAGGAATCTCACTTCGCCTTCCTGAAAAAAGAAAAGAAAATGCGCCATGGTTTAATTAAATGTGGCCCATAGGGTCACTGATCATTTACAGTGTTGTGCGCGCTAGTGTCAAATGTCGAAAGCTGGTTTTCGCGCACGTTTCTCCACCCAGTTCAACCAAACCTATCAAATGATGATGATGACTGTTATATCCAGTGTTATACTACCTGAAGTAGGACTGCGCTTTTTTGTGTGTTGTATTACATGAAGTAGGACAGCTGAAATAAATCATTCCATGTGTTCCATGTATTCGTGGTACTTCTACTGTTAATCGGTCTTAACAGTGATAAACAGTGTTTACAAATTTAACTAAAATGAGATATCTTAAATTCAAACATCTTTAAACTAAGGTCATGACCTTGCTTGGTTTTCTATCTTTTTATTAACTCATTTTACAACAGACAATTAGAGTTGTCCCTTATCATGTAGCGGGATTAATCGTAATGCAAATGCAGATGTAATCTATAAACCAACAAAACACGGAAGGGCTTTCATGAGCTTGTTATAAAATACGTTTCTTCCAAATTGAAATAAAATTAAACAAGTAATATACAGCTTCAGCACTTAAATTTGTCCTTGCTAATCCAGGCAATTGAATACACCTTCTGACTTTTTGCTTTTAATTAATCCAAAACGCGGGCAATAGGAAATAACCGAATTAAATAAAACTAATTTCCTTTCAAGGTTTTGAATCAAGACTCAGAGGCAAAAGGTACTCCGAATGCTTAACTGTCTCAAGTGCTAGGTCTTAAGGGGATGGCCCAACCCTTTTCTCGATCAATGTAAGGCCAGAAGTGCCAATAGGAGCCCATGATCTGCTGCCAACACTGTGATTTCGTCGATGCAATTTCTAAATAAAAACTCACACCTCCTCAAGAAAATGAGGTGTAATAAAAAACACATTTTACAACGCCCCCAATCTCTCGCTCCTTTTGGAGTACATCAAGCCATACGACAACGCCAAACTGTTGACCAACTAAGTGCCGCCTTCCTTCTGTTCGAATAGCACGTATGTAAGTGTAATTTTAGCGCTAGCCTCTGTAGTGTAACTAGCTATTGTTACCTTAAACGCTTGCAAGTTTGCTTTTCTTTCCTGTGGGGATCGGTCACTATGGAGACACACACAAGAGTACTCATTGACCATAGCCTTTGGACCTGGTGAAGAAAAAATACACAATACACCTCTCAGTAACCAATATACAAATAATCACTTCTGGCCAATAACAATAAGGGTAAATAACCTGGTAAACCAATCATAAAGCGAAGCAAGAACAAACAAATGGTGCTGAGCGTGGGAAAACATTCACCCTGTGCAAAGCGCGGGAAAACATAAAACCTCAATGCAAAAGCGCGCACGTCAAGCTGGTCATGGTTTCGCTCATTGGTTGAAAAAAGACAACGTTCATTCTGATTGGTTTAAGACCCTTGACAGAGAACTCGACAAAAACAGAAAAACAGCAAGCACCACTGTTACTCAATGCATTGTCACTACCTCCGCCTAAGGAGACCAGGTATTGTTCCACATTATCACAATCCAGTTTCGTACGACAGAAGATTATTGCTTGGTCCATTTTATGTTCCTTGATGGCTGTCACCAAGTACTCAACCTTCAAAATCTTCACGGCCTCGGACAGAGATTCTGCACAATGAGAAAGTGCACGTTAATTATCGAGCTTATATTAAGTCTCATTCAAGATGTGTCAAATAACTCGTACCTGGAATTTGACCGCCAGATTTCATGTTGTCTTTTGCATGGATTCCATCAGTCTAAAGAAAAAAAAAACAGTGGTCAAATGTAAAAGAAAATAGCTGAATATAGGTATGGGTCACATGTTTGTCACAACAACTGAAAGGTGGTTCTATATGTGACCATTCAAAACTATCAAACTGAGCTTTCGTGTGGCGCTGCTTGTTATACTATGCAAGGTCGGTTTAAAATATCGTGAAACCTTAAGGGACAACATTTCAATGAAAGCGGTCGAGGAGTACATTCATGTGGGACTGTTCACTACAGTAAATAGTTTGAATCAAGGATAATCGGTAGTTCGCGTGATCATCCCTGTGTATTGCGCTGTGCAGGGTTTTCCTACCTGACTGATATCCTAATGCGTGACCATTCAAATAAATACTGTCCAGCATGCACTTTCATCGGCCTCGTTCCCAGTCTCTATCCCCTTTCCTCTGCCTCGATAACGCGCAGGATTGTTCAAGTCCGTGACACCTTCTGTTTTAGTTCCGTCATTGTTAGGAAGGTTAGCCAGAGCACCGTCACCAGATTCATTCTCTTACCTTAACATAGCTGACACGCGAGCAGATTGCGGCTCGCACGATGGAAGCACCGAAACACGCGAAAAAGTAAAAGCCTGAGCGCGCATGTTATGAAGGGTAACCGTACAGCAAAAACCATTTCATATTATTCTCTTAAAAAACACTGCAGAAACAAAGATTTGATTCTGTTGAAGCTATAAAGCACTTAGTTAAGCAACAAGCAAGATTTGAAAACGTTTGGTGCTTGGTGCTAGGTGTAAAAACGTTGCACACAGGTTCTACGTTAGTGATTGAAGATAGAGGATTATGGTAAGTCACACACCTTAACTTTATTCTTTAGTTTCTGCCATGAGTTGTCCGCTCTGGGATCCACATGGCAAACCTATAAAGCACAGATATAATTACGACAAAGTATACCATCCTAGATAAAATTCCTAGCTGCTTTGGCTCCCTGCCAGGTTTGCTTCACCCCCGACTCATTCTCGCGGCTTCGCCTCTCTTGCGTGAGTCTGGCCGTACTCTTAATCTATTTGGCGACCGTGTTTTCAAAATGAAACTGGTGCAGTAATGAAAAAAATGTTATAAATTATTTACCACGTGGTGGACGGTTTCGGGAACAGCATCCTGTCCTTTGAGATCAACCCAGGTTGGAAAGTGCATGATTTTATCCTAAGAAAGAAATAACATTCCTGAGCCCAAGGCAAAATAAAGATTATGCCATCTGTACACTGTATATCATGTGTGTTCTTCTACACTTGCCTAAACGGAGACTCTAGTTTTCGTGAGGGAGGCTGTTTATTAACATAACATTCTTTGCACGATAAGCTAAAATCCTGACAACGTTCTGTATTGCCGGATGTACTCGTATACCCTGATTCATACATGTGGTTAATAGGAATCTTTAAGTAATTTTACTGTTCACCAAAGAACAGCCTTTAGAGGTCCAATTGTTAGTAAAAAAAAAATTATGCGTTTCCACACCTTTCACGGAAATGTTGGTTTTCACAATTTTAAGTAAAATTACAATAACATACGTTCAGCTCTTCTGCTCTTATTACAATGTAGGTATATGTAAAAGGTTGATTTGCAGATAAGATTTACAGCGGTGAGCATACTATCAAGGTTTTACATACACATATAATCTCTTTTTTCATTATTATTATTATTATTATTATTATTATTATTATTATTATTATTAAAAAAACACCTTTTTGATCTTAAAAGAAGACATGACCGTTTTCACAGTCAAACTGAAACTGAAACTGCTGTGTCTAAAAATATTTACTAGCTTCTACAATCAAGATCGTTTGAAAACACACAAATATCTTACAGCCAGCTTCTTGACTTCAAAAGAGTGAAGAGTCGCTGAACAAACAATCATCTGTGAAAGAAAAGGTGAAAGCAACGTTATCAAAATCACGTGCACTCGGTAATTAAGAAGCATTGATCTTCATACATGTGGATTCTTTAAAGGTAGCAGGTAATGTCTGCATTCCAACCTAGTGTCCCATCTGACTGGCACTTATCTCTAGCTTTGGTAGCATGACACAACCAGGAGTATTACTACTCCCCCCTGGAACCCGGGGATGCTAGTTCATCGCATGGTTACTACTAGGATTACATTTGCCGGTACCCATTTATACACCTGGGTGGAGAGAGGCACTGTGAGAGTAAAGAACACAATACAGTCACCCCAGCCAGGGCTTGAACCTGGAGTCCAACACACTAGCCATTACTTCTATGCATCTCCCACAGATGCCAGCAAAGTAATTATTAAAAGCAGTTTATTCAGACAAACTGTTGGTTTCCATTATATTTTTACCTGTAGTCGTTTGCCATCTGGGCTCATTTTTGGAATCTTGCTAAAGATTCTTGTAATCAGGTCATGGTTCCCTTGAGCTAGTAAACCATCCTGATAAAAGACGGAAAAGACAAGCAGTTAATTCAACTCTCTGTCAGACTACACAAGTTTTTTTGTCATAATTTAGTACTCAGGTATCCAATATTTCCACCACCTTTTGGAACACAAAAGTGGCAGTTTGGATGGTGACCATATCACTGACAACCTCACTGGGAATGAGGTTGTATCATTTGTAGTAGAGATAATCTAAAAATGTTCTTATAATACATACAGAGTGAAGGAATACAATAGAGCATTTTCATGGTGGCCATATTGCTAATTCCAAACAATTTTTTTCGTCATAAACCAACATGGTCCCAATGATGTCATGCGGAAACACTCTATAGCAAACAAGTGAGAAAAGGAACCAAGCTGATGATTCCATATCCATATCTTTTCTACCTTGGCTATCGCAGCTTCTCCACTCGTGCTGCAGCATACAAGAGCCTGCTCGCAGGCTATTACTTTTCCCCTTGCAGAATCTGGTCGGCGTGCAATGTCAGAAATTAAATTTTCTACCAGCTCAACCATGGGACCTTAAGGTGTACATTTTATTTTTAACACATTTTATAATAATGATTATAAAACATGATCTACAGCTAGTGTTGCCATTGGCTAACAATGCAAACATACCGCTTCATCCAGAATGAAGAAGCGAACCTGAAAGGAAATTGTATATTACCAGAAATGGTTTAATAAAATTTAGCATATAAACAATTGATTGTTCACTTCTCATGTGTATAACAGATGAATGGGCAGATCCAAGAAATTCAGAAACAGGGTGCTGTGGCAGTTGGCATGGCAGCTGCAAGGGGGAGCAGGGGGGATGTTTCCCTCAGAAAATATTTACCGTCTTTAAAAAAACTAGATTTTCTGAAATTTGTTTTGGTGTACTCTAGAAGCACTTGCGACAAATTTTAAATTTCCCAAACAAATGACAGAGGTGCAAGGCCCTCAGTGCCCCTTGCCCCACTTAGTCTGCCTTGGATGTTTGCATGGGCTTTGGTACAAAGCATGGTATTTTTTTAATTCATGAATATTTCATTTTACACTGCCAACATTTTTACTAGAGTGCTGGTGAGGTTAGATGACTGTCAATCAGATGGTTAACAAACGATTCAGTTATGCGCATCTAGTCCCTTGTAACACCTCAACTTTACTCAAGTTATCTACCAAAATGGCCAGTTTCCTAAAATATTTCGCTCTTGTATAATGAGCTGGCCATACATACTTGAGAGAGGCTGATTTTATCAGTAGAGATAAAATCATCAAGTTTTCCAGGTGTGCCAGTCACAATATCCACCTACAGAAATAATGAAAAGCCACAGACAATGATTAGAAAACAAGCAAACCTGTTATCATCAGTTTATAATGTTCATGGGCACAGTACCAGTCAAAGGTAAGTCTTGACTACGTCTTGACTTGAAACTTGATACTCGATCCTCAATGTTTTCAAAAACAGAGAATCAAGATTCGGGGCTTGAGTTTCAAGTTTCAAGTTTTGAGTTTAAAGACACTCAAAGAGTTTTTTTGAGGAAACAATTTATGTCTTGAATACCTAAGGTACAAAGACACCAAAGAACTGATAATAAACTGAAAATTAACAATCTGAGGAGGATTAAGATAGATTATGAGTGATAAACTTGAAAAAAATGGCTGTATTCTTAAGACATGTGTAACAAATCTCCTTTAAATTGCCTGCAGCACTTAACTTCAATTATTTAACAGTTTAAAGAGTTTTTCAGCAACTGAACTCACTTTCACATTGAAACAATTTCAATGTTATTGTTAGTTTGTAAAATGTGACACTCACCCCATCATTAAGCATCTGAATTTGGGTCTTCACATGCTCTCCACCAATCAAAAGGACTTCTCTAAAATGCCAAGAAAATGTTTATTTTTAACTACCTATTAACTGAGAGTGAGATCTTTACAGTGAAAATCTGTATTGTCCAAGCAATAGCCAGGTCAATAGGGCAAGCCAAGGTTTGAGATTTTCCCGTAGAGACCGAATGTTCGAGGTTGACAAGTTGTTTGTTATATGGCTTTTTGCTTTAGTTTTGCAGGCCTGTAATCAGCCTGTAGGCATTATGGGAGAATAATGCCCCAGAATTAGCCAATACGAGTGTGCATTATATCAGTTGCAAGCCATATAATAAAGTTTAAATATAAACTTAGGCTCACAATGCACACAAAATTCAAAAGAGAGTGCGCATGAGGTGACCTGTAGTTTCACCTATAATTAGTAAAGCAATTTAAATTAAATGGGGTTTTCGTAGATGATAATTGTTTGCCCTTTCATCAAATTGGTCAGATGGGAACTTCAATCAGTACAATATAGCTCCCTTCCCACCAGACAGTGTTTTTGCAACAACACAACTACATAGCATCAAAATGAATGAGAACTAAAGTAGCTTACTTGACTTGTGGGTTTGGTAAATACTTCTTGAACTTTGAGATCTGATTGTGGGTCTAGGCATTCAACACAAAATTACTTGCATCAAGGCGGTGGTAACAACGTCAATGGACAATTGAAAAATAGTAAGCAAAAATAATTTAACAACAGTTTCATTCAATCCTACATACCTGTTGGGCTAATTCTCTAGAAGGCTAAGAAAAAGAAAAGAAAAAATAAAGAAACAAAGAAGTCGCAGTGACGAATAACAGTTCTCATGAGAAATGCGAACAATACAATCATGATGTATCAATGTTAATTGTTTTATCCTTTTTCCATTGTACCTTGTCAGAGCAGGATTCACAGGTTCAATGCTTCAATTTAAAGCTCCTTAATATTCTATTTTCATTAAAGCTCAGTTCAGAGGTTAACCATAGGAATTAGGTTATTTGCACCACAGGCATACAATTTTTGCAAAGGAGTAACACTATGAAGCCCAATGTGAACAGAGCAAAGTAACTGTGGAATCCAGTGCAGTATCTAATTGATGACAATCTTGAAATGAAAGGAATGGGACATAGAAGGGAAACTTGCACATGTTCTAGGTTACGGACTGAACTGTCAATGTTTGTATTGAGGGATTAATAGTGATGCATTATAATCTACCAAATGTATTGCTTAAATGTACGATGGTGATTGAACATCTTTGTTATACATTGCAGTGGTCACACGCACCTCCATAATAATTGCTGATGGACTACATCTGTTATTAAACTTGCCAGATTTGGGCTGGGCCACCGCTGATGCCCCTAGGCAATTTTCAACAGAGACAGAAATTAATTGAAAAAAGCATACCAGAGCCAAATTGCAAGGAAAGAAACAATGGATTGCTTCCTTCTGTTGACACATCTTTGCTCAATGACAAAACTAATTCTAACACTGTATGCGAGATAAGTGGGAAGTGCAAGTGATCTTCAGCACCTCAGTAGATGGGTGTCTCACCCGTGTGTGGAAGGTAATAGGCTTTAACCCTGGTTGGGAGAACTTGAAATTTCTTTCTAAGAAGCTTGAAACCTTCCTGACTTTGTCACTAACTGATTAAAGTAGCGTAACGACTTACCTCCTTTGATATTTGAGACAGCCACTGCATTAGGTGGGGCTTTGGACAGTCCTTTATATCCACCAGGCTTCAAATTTATGTCAGAATAAGGCATAATATAGGAGATAATAAATTTCTTATTTGCAAGTTGGGATATGGAATTTAACTTTGATATACATGTATTGCTGAGATTAAATTCTGACCTAATAGTTATTTGCATAAATAAATAAGATAAAATAATAAATAAAATTATATATAAAAAATAAATCTGTCCATTACCTGTCAATTGTTAACAGAAATAATATTTTTCACATGAACTCAACAGGATACTCATTACAAAACAAAGTGAATGTCAAAGACTTCGGGATTCCTCTTCGGGAGTATGATAGGAAGCTGTCTGTCTTGAAATGTGTGTATAATTTATAGTCAGCTGCTATAATAATTTCTCCTGGCAGTGCCTGGTGGCAGCAGGCTCTAAAACTGGTTTGGGAGGAGGTTGGCATTGGTTATAGCAATCAACTGGGATTTTTGCTAGCAGATGACATTTTTGTTAATACTCAACATAAAGTGAACACACTCAATAACTAAGTAACCAAACCACCTGGGGCCTTTTGTGCAATAACACAACTGAACTGTTTCATCAAGCTTCTTGAACATTATTTAAATATAAACAAGAACTCGCTTTGGGGCATGTACATGTGCTAGCTGACAAGAGTATTGCACTGATGAGGTTATATATGGCATACAGTTATATACATGGGCTTGGCTTGGCACTTCTGTTATATGTACATGTACTTAATCTCAATTCACAGGTTTATCACTTGCAGCACTACATCCACTCTTACCTTAGGTGGGTACTTGAATGGAGAATCACCAAAATTAAACAACAGCTCAGCATTCTACACAAAAGAAAAGGTTCATAATATATACTGTACTGACGGTGTATTTTTTTAGGAAGGATAAATGACTGCAGCTGATAAACAAGATGGCAAGATGAAATCAAAATATTTCTATGCAAAAAATTATTACCAGCAGATATTTTTACCTTTAACACAACTGCAGCAAAAAATGTGCTTCCCTGAAGGTTTGTATGAATGTCAAATGCCTTGCCAAAATCTACTCCTGCAGTAGTGATTAATTGTAAAACAAAAATAGTGGGACAAAATTAAATCTGGAAATTGGACTTCATTTTGGAGACAAAACAAGAAGAGAATATGTTTTGTATAATTCACCAGTTAACAATAATTACTTCAGATATCACTCAGTAGTCACTATCTCATTGGTGTAAAGATCTCAGGTACAGTACATGTAGTGTCTGACTGAAACACTAATAGTGTGATTGCAAAACTAGGACTTGATCTTACAAAAAATAGGAGAATAGCTATGATATGGAGTTGCAATTAAATGGGTTAGACACATAGTTACAAACTGTTCCATTCCCAACATCATTCTGCATAAAAAATAACAGGGTAAAATATAGATTTGGGGAAAAAAAGAGGTTCATTATGACCACTAACCATTTTTGCTAAATTTGATTGAGCCATTATCCAGGTCGATGAAGCATCCAATAATGTCATTGATTCCAAATGGCTGTAGAAGCAAGATAATCAAATGTCCAAGGCATCAGTATCACAATTTATAACAACTTGATGGTAACTATTAACATAAAGAAATAACAATGATTTGGACAGTTTTATTTTAAAGAAAAATTGTATAGTTCTCAATCTTATGCAAAGCAATGGCCACACGAAATAAGTTCACTTAAAGCACTGCATGCCAGCATTTTTCATGGCCACCAATTAAGCAATCAATGAGTAAAAAACTAATCAATCGATAGATCAGTCTGTCTGTCCGTCCATCTGTCAGTCTGAGTCAATCAGTCAATCAGATAAGTACCTCTCCATAGGAGTCAAACTGTCTTCCAAATGACTTCTTCCCAGTTCCACCAAATCCATAACCCTGTTTATCAGTTCCTGGAAGTAAAGAAACTGAGTGTACAATCTTACATTCTTCACTTTTGAGGGGATCAAGGCACTGATAATCAACTTTCAGGAAACACACAGAAACACAACTACATGTAAGGGTATAAATATCCTGGAACCTGTGTCTTTCAGGCAGAAAAATGTCATGAAAAATGGCTTTTGCATCCCATGGCACAATTGTGACTGATGATCGGTATAATGATGACGACGATGATGGAGATGACAATGACAATGATGATGATGATATTGTTGCTGCTGCTACTGCTGATGATGATGATGGTGATGAGGATGATAATGACGACGACGACAACGACGACGATGATGATGATGATGTTGCTGATGATGGTGACTTCTAACCTTCCAAACCATCTACCAGGCCTATGGCCTACAAACACCTTTTGCTAAACACAAGAATTCATCCTTCAGTTGGGTTTTAGGATGTTATAATGTACATTCTTAAAGACTTTTAATTGTAGAAATTAGATTGAGCAGTTCACATAGGCTCTTGTGTGTATGGAAAGTAATTATTCCATGATATCCAAATTCTTATCAAATAGCATCTAGCCTAGGAGATTCAACAGACCTTATTTTCAAGTTGAAGAACTAAAGAATGTTAATTTTTTATACTTTGACCCCTTCCCTGTCTCTACTGGAAGTTTGGGTTGAGCGTCATACTTTCCTTCAATCATTCAAGGTACTCAAGACCCCTTCCCTCAACCCTCTACAGTGGGGGTTGGATATTTTCTGGAACTGTACATTGTTATTAATTACCAACTGACCAAGATCTAGTGCTGCCAGCTCTGTGGACCATCCAACACGACAAAGACCTTCATCTGTTACTGAAGCTTCATAATAGTACTTTCCTAACAAAGATGACACAATATTAATTTTCTAGCAGACTTTTTCTTATTTACAATGCTCCAACTACACAAAATAAATTAATTCCTTTTATTCGCCTTACTAATAATTTGAACTAGAGGTACAGAAAGCTTATTGTAACAAGTACTGATAAAATTGTATTCACTCTCTGTTTCTTTTGAAAACTGAAACTTCTTAACGGATTAAAAGTTTACAGAGGTTTCCTTAAGGGCCGGGTAGCGGGCAAATTGACCGGCTGTGAGGACAATTTTGCCGGGCTGGTTTGACCATCTAGTGGAATTTTTTTCTTACAAAGAAGTTCAGTTTTAATAGTTTTGCCAACTTGTGAAAACCAGTTACCCTCCTGGTGAAAACATTTATGAAACCCCTAAGTTTATTTATGGAGTCCTGTTTTCTTTCATAACCAGAAGTGATGAACAATGTTTACATACCCTGTTTTACACCCAGAGTAGAGCGGCATCCTTGCCACTTATAATGATCGCGACTCTGGCACAGATAACCTTTTTCATCAATGGCTACGAATCATAAAAAATGAATTGGAATGAAAAACTACTTCCTACTACTGCAAGTCAAGAAAAACTATTTTTGCCACATACAGAATACATAACATAAACCAAGTATTTTGTTAGTATAAGAATTTTATATGTTAGGATCATTAGTTGTATTTCCACAGTGTCTTTACAATGCGAGTAGAGGCACGGTGGCCTCACAGTTAGTGCTCTCTCCTCCAGATTGAGCAGTCAAGGTTCAAGCCCTGGTGCTGTGCTGTGTTCTTGGGCAGGACACTTAGCTCTCACAGAGCCCCTCTCCACCCAGGCGTATAAATGGGTACTAGCAAATCTAATGCTGGGGGTAACCATGCAATGGATGAGGATCCCATTCAGAAGGGAGTAGGAATAACTGTACTCATAGTCGCTTCATGCTACGGAGATCAGTATTGGCCTGATGGGACACTTGGCTCGTAAGTGAACTTTTTTTCTACAATGTCCACAATGAGTAAGATGACAAGTTTAGTTCAAGCCTGGGAGAAATTCACAAGTTTTGTCCACTACTCACCAAAATCCAGATCTCTATCAAATATGTTCAATATAAATGTGTTAGGCGCTATCAAAGGAAAGAAAAAAGAAATACATCACTTATTTTTAATTAATATTGAATTCTTTAGGTGAAATAAAAACTGCTACTAATTGAGTAAATGAAGTGCACGTTTTAAGTATGGTTCCATAGTCATTTGACAGGAAATGACTGACAAAAAAATACTCATGAGAAATTGAGTGGAACAAGGGAAACCTTTATTACATTTATATAATTAGTAGACTTGATACTGAAATGACTGTCATGCACTTTTGAATGGTTTCTTTCTCCCAATGTCAGATATCTCACCCACTAGGAGAAAACATGTAAATTAAAATATTTATGGCTGAAAATTTATCTGACAGTTCATACTTAAAGACAAGTGATTTAAGGGTAATGTCCCTACCACAAGTACCTAGATATCAAATCCAGTATTGAGTTTTTAATGGCATTGTATGTTTTGCTACATAATATTATTGTATCACTTCTTTTATAAAAAAATTGATTTAGGTAACTAGTTGAGAAATTTGTTCACTATCAATTGCTAATTGGGCAGTGATGGAAAAAGCAAATTACACAATTTATTAAGTAACATAAAGGGTCATTATTATTGTTATCATTATTGTTGTTATTGTTGTTGGTATTATCAATTACCAACTGACGCAGCAACTGCAGGACGAGAACTCTTACGGCCACTTATGGCTTCCCTTACTGTCTCATGTACAATCTGAATCACTGGCAAAGAAAATGCCTGAAACAGAATCACAAACACGAGATCACTACTTCAAAACTTCAATATACTCATCTTTATTATTTACCAATAGTACATACATCAGTTCTTGTTTTAGTAATACTTATACCCATGGGATAGCAGCGGTAATGGTAAACAAACTTTAAAATATCTGAGAATTTTGAGGATTATTCTCAGTTAACAAACTGTGTGAGTCCTTTAATTTTATGAGTTCATTGCATGTAACACCAAAATTTATGGTAAAACAATCAAACTCCATACCCCAGTCTTTCCACTTCCAGTCTCAGCTGCCTTGGAAGAAAGTAGACCACATAAAAATTAGAACACCAGCTAAACATATCAAGCAAAATAAACTGAATATGTAAATTTCAAATGGTTAGATAGGAGTAATTTAAGAACAAAATTTTCTTGCTTGTGATGGAAATGGTCCTACACATGCTCTCTTTTAGACAAGTAAACTGCCATGGGTTGCCTCTTGATATGTTTTCAGGTTACTCCAATAATTTTTGGAGACCTGTTTGTAATCTGCTGACATCAGTCAAGGCCAGTGTGCTGCACCTGATACTGGAGTCTCAATGGAAGTGTCATTGAATGTTTGAGCACAGTCAGAGTTACTGTGTTTTGTTGTTGGGTGAGGCAGTTCTCGTGAGGCCTTGCTCCTATTAGAAAAAGACACTGCAAGAGAAGACTGTGTTTCAAGTTTCAACTTCCTCCTAACCTCAAGGACATTGCAGTAAGCCAAAATATAGCTACATGTGTACACAGCACTGTACTTGCACAAAAATCCAAGGGAACTAAGAATACCTAATTTAAATTGAAGTCAAATCAGTGAACAAAAATGAAAGATATTAATTTCACATAATTTTTTTCTAGAATTCTTACCATAAGCACATCTCCACCCCCCAAGATCAGTGGAATGGCTTCTGCTTGTACATCTGTTGGAAGACTAAAAAGAGGAAAACACTTTCAATTTATCATAACATAAACATTTTAGCCATCAAAAGCAAGCACAAGCCTATATCTGAACTTATTAACCACTAGTAGTGTTTAATTCTGAGGACTTAGGGATCGTTCATTTTTTATAAGGTAGGGGGGGCTGGTGGGATTTGGGGGGGGGGCATGCGAAAAAAAATGGCTTTCGAGGGGGGGCCATCCCAAAAAAATAAG